GTCGAGCTATTACTAAAAATAGCCAAGTGAGAAAAGGGGCCGTGAAGGTCAGATTAAATCGACCTGTTGCACTATTGAGTATATCGATGGATGTGATTTTCCAATATTATTATGCGTTCAAACTTTTAAGGTATTTCGTCTGAAATAAGTATATGTATATTGCATTTCTGTAGAACAATGATTCGAACCCATTTTGAAATTGCCACCTACTATACTGTAAAGTTTCTAGGACATTCACTATAGAACCGAGTCATTGTTGCCGCCAGGGAGTGAAGAGGAAAAAATTTATTTCGCTTTGCGAATAACCGTGCTATGAAATGCCGCACAACTGGAGAATTTCAAGAACGGATATAACACTTTCCTTAGGTTATTTAAAGCGGCAAATGACCACCAAACCTTAATCTTAGCAGACAAATGTGCCAATGAAAATCGTAAACGTGAATTGTTGGTGAAAATGTTGGACCAAAAAGTTTCAATAAAATATATAAAAATTTTGGGCGGGACGAAGTTCGCCCGGTCTGGTAGTTGTTATAATAAATTCGAATTACTGTTTGCTTCCATTTCGGTCAACTGCGCAAGTTAGTTATTAAAGAAATGTCGTATAAAAACAGCAGATTTGGTTTGCTTTTGAATACGGCTTCATCGAGTGCGCAATAAAGACCGAGGTATAAATACTTGAAAGAAATATGTCTTGAGTCAAATCAGCTTTTTGTTAATGCGGTTCTTGCATAGATATAAACAAAGTAAGTTTCTGCTTCTACTTCGACTGCGACTTTTTTCTTGTCTCAGAAGTTGCCCAGTGAAACTATATGGTAACACCAACAGTAAACGTTGCACTATTTGAAAAAAAAAAATATTAAAAAATAACTAAATGGACTGGTTGTTTTGAAATTTCATTTTTTCGTCACATAATAACCGCGTGTATGTAAATAAGTGGTCGATTCTTCATAAAGTGTGTTGGAATCAGTGTGAAAGTTTGTTTAAAAGTGCTAAGAAAATCAGAAAGAAAAACAATTCCGGGCAAATCCGGGTTAAAGTCGGCTCTAAATAAGTTAGATCATAATTTAATGTAAAGTATACTTTATCTTAGCATAGTCGAGTTAGAGCGGCTTTTTCGCTTAGAGTCGGATTTAAAGTTAGAGCAACGAAAAGCTGTAACTAAACAATTTAGCATCGCTCAAAAGTTGTGTTTTTCGGAAAAAACTTGAAAGGGATTTCAGCATCATTGATGATGCTACAAAAATTAGGCGTCCAAAAATTTATAGAAACAGAGTAAATCCGTTTGAATTAGACGACAGTGATTTTTGTTCTCGGTATCGGTTCGACAAAGTCACTGTGGAATTCATTATTCGAGCTTTAGATATTGAAAATCCGAGAAATAAAAGAGGCCTCCCGGCACCAGTTTGCACTCAAGAACTTTGTACTCTTAGATTCCTAAGAAGAAATGTGCATCAATGTGACGTTGGTATGTTTAATAGAGTGTAACTAAAATTTAGAAATAAAATATATATATATATATTACTATATTATAGCTGATATGCATGGTTTATCCCAGAATACTGTTGGAAGGATAAACAAAAAAAATAAGTAAAAGGATTGCAATGTTGCTGCCGCACTTCGTTCGATTCCCAAGTAGAAATGAACTGAGCGAGGTAAAAACAAATTTTACCAATTAGCTCGGTTTCCTATCGTAATCGGAGCCATCGACTGCACCCACGTGCGAATTAAATGTCCTTAAAAAAATAGTCCAAACTTTGGCAGGCCATTTTCTGAATAGGAAGAGGTACTATTCTCTAAATGTTTAGGTAACTAACCAAAAAGACGCCATTATGTTATAAGTAAATGCGACAAAAACGTACACACATTTCGTAGATTGTTTGTGGTGCAGATTGCAAGATTCTTGACATCGTTGCAAGGCCACGTGGCTCCAGACATGACGCTCGAATTTGGGACAACTGCCATCAAAAAACTCGTTTGTTGGAAAACAAATCTGAACATAACGGTGTACTAGTCGGAGATGCAGGATACCCTAATTCATCAATACTTTTGACTCCAGTTAGAAATTCGTCCACAGAAAACGAAGAAAGGTAGAATTTATAAAGGCTTCCTGAAATACTGAGTTTTCTATTGATTCTTTTTATATATAATAGGAGCCACATTGCTACATGTTCCAAAATAGAATGCCTGAATGGGCAGATCAAATGTAAGTTTCGTTCAATTTTCGAGAGGTTGAGTCAACCCTCAGCAAAAAATTTAGTTATCGCTGTTGCTGTGCTTCATAAGATTACCAAAGAACGAAACTTTTTATGTGAGTCCTATACTTTGAATTAAAACCTGCAAAATTAACTACATTAAAAATATTTTCTTAGTTTTGGATGCGGATACCACTACTACCCGAGTATCAATTGAAGAAAGCGGAGACACCCTAGAAACCACTTCAAAGAGAAACCACATCAGGGAGAGCATAAAGAACTGCATTTATTAATAAATATTTCTGACTACTATGACTGATACTAATTTAAATTGAAACCCAAAAAATCTTGATGCGTACAGATTTATTTCAAAATGAACATGCTCAGTTTGTGCTTCATATCAAACTTGCGAGTAGTGTATACATAAAAATATTCAATTCAGTCTTTCCTTATTTCATAAAACCTACAGCTATCTAAAAACTTCAGCCTTTTAAAACTTCAGGTACCGCATCACAAAAATTGGTTCAGATAACTTAACTAATTCATTACACTTATTATCAATAGCTTATATTGGCCTCCTCGTTTCTTATTTGGAGGCGAATTAGTTGGTATTTCAGGTCCATCAACTCCTCCTCTCTTTGTGTGTTCGAGCCTGATGTGAAATTTCTACCTTGAGCTGCTGCACCCTCAGTACATTAAGCTCGTCATCATGACCAGATTCTTTTGCAATCTGATCCTGTCTCTGCTTGATGACGACAGTTTTGGAGGCATTTTTCCTTGGAAGGAGTCGCAATTCCTTAAGGAGTCCTTTGGGAGCAGATACGAGTTGGAGAGCGCTAATGCAAGGCACTTTACTTTCTTCTTGCAATTCAAATTCTAGAATGTCTGTGTTGCAAGAGCTAGTCGGCACCGTTGGAGTGTTGCTGCCGACTAGTATCGTGTCCTCTTCAAAATTACACGCTATCATCGAATGGAATTGCATGTCGCCTTCGTCCAACGTTGGTATATCGACAACATTTCTTGCCACAACAGTCGCCCTCCTTACTTGCGCGACTGCTATCCTCGCGTTTACTTTCATGCGCATCCACTGCTGCTTTAGCTTCGGCACATCGCGATCAAAGCCTGTGGCTACCACATCCATTCTTATGGCTTCCCAGGCATCTTTCTTCCGTTTAATCATCCGGAGGTCATTTTATTTGTTTTCGATCACATCGATGTGCCCGTTGCCCAAATCCCGCAAACAGTCTTTCTCGGATGCAGCCCAGTTTTGTTCGCGTTTCCTTGCCTGTAGGAAAAACAACCGCTAGAAAAACAGTACAAAATTACTTACTCTTGGTTCCTCCTCCATCTCAATTGAAAATAAATAATAAACACAGATCAGCTGATTTATGTGTGTATCCTGAAAACGGGTGCTGTATTAATCAATAAACAGTAACATAACATTTCATGTACAACATTTCACATCAATTATCATCTTTTACTTAGTATAAAAACATAAAATGTCTTTTAAAACCTATTTTTAATGATTTCTAACAACAAAATCGCCTTTTGTTTTAAAATTCTCAACTTAAAAAAAAAAATCCCTCTATAAAATATATTCATTCGTTCCTTTTCGATATTTTTCCCCCAACTATTTTCACAGCGTTGCCACTTCTGCACAATGTCATTATTAGTTAGCACCATTTACTAAACTGACTATGACAAGACTAAAAATAAAGTCGGCTTTTTCTTTTTAGTAATTTACTAACTAAAGTTGGCTTTTATCATGGACTATGACTACGGGCCAATAAGTTAAAGCAGTGCGAAATTTTTATTTTATGGCTTTTACTATTTCGACTTAAGTTTTTAAAACACTGGTTTAAATATGCTTCTAAACTAGTTTTTTTGTCTTGCTTTAGTGCGAATACTAGAAAAAAAAAATAAATGTCTTTATTTTATATCAGTTTAAAAATCTAGTTACAAACCGAATAAACAAAAAAATAAGGGACCAAAATTCCTTCACTTTGCAGTCGCTGTCATTTTTACAAAAAGTAAAAAATAACAGATCATCTTTACACTTATAGATCTTATTCATATACACATTTGTGTATTAATATTAGTATGGCATAACATACATACATACATATACATACATATAGATATATTGTTATATATATTAAAACATAGAATAATAGTAGGGTTAAAATTGTAATATATGGTTTGATTACTTGTAGGGTTGCAATTTTATAATTCTTTTATGCGATTGCAGTGTCTGAATTTCGTTTTAATTTGATCGTAAATTAAATTATAACTCGGGATCCCGAGGGCTTGATCCCGGGATTTCGAGACTAAAAAAGGACATTACCAGATGGTGAATTTATCAAGTGCACATACTTATGTAATTGGGCTGATAATATGTACATATGTATATCTAAAATAATTTAAAGGCTTACCAGGTGTATTGGATACACTTCTGTCAGAGCACGGTGTTTTGTGGTTCAGTACTTTCATATTATTTATCGGCATTATCCGCGTCTGATACCAAGTCACTGTGTTCTGATCGGATTTAACTGCTTCCCAAGGCATTGACCATCGTCTCATTTGACTTTCGACATCTGTTGAGTTTTCATCTATTACCTCTCCAGCAGCGGCTTCAGACCACCTACGCTGGCCGTTTAAGGGAAACAAGGGAATATAAAGTGGGGATCTTACGCCTCTGTTAAACGGATGCTTCATTGCCAGCAAATGTCCTGGATTAGGTAATGGTCCTTTCGTATTTTCAAATATTTCCTGAAGTGGAGAAGGTCCACGAGCTTGTTCTACGGAATCTTTAAAAGAAATTTAATGAAAATACGAAATAGGGTCTTAATCTAGATATCGCACGTTTAATAATGTAGAGGTGTAACTTAAAATGTAAGTTTTTGGAGATATTATTATACAAATAATAAGCTTGATAATTAGAATAAGTTCAGTCTACCAGATAAACAAACTTCCCAAATATGTCTTTCGGATAGCTCAATCAAGCTAGCGGCGCTGAAATGAAAAAATGAGGAACAAATTTGTTCATATTATTGTGCTCATTATGTGCTATTTTCGGCCACTTTCCGTTTTTTCTACTCCAACCATTTGGTAAATAATTATGACTTTGCTAAGTTAACCGTAACTTAGCAAAACATTTATTCAATGAAGTCTCTTTAATACTGGGCTTATTTTTTGTGCATTTTATGTGCTTCAAAAATATTGCCCAGTAAACATTGAAAAACCGCTTGACGTCACGCTAGCTGGCCCACCTCTTAAACTTTGGTCGAATATATAATTGAGGAATTACGTGCTATTTTTGGGCTTCTTAGAGTCACCAAAATAATTATAGGCGCTCATTCACTTTCGGAGATAATTAAGACTTTGCTGAATTAACTGTAACTTAGCAAAAAATCCATTCAGCGAAGACTTTTTACAGCTTATCTGGGTTTATTTTTATGTGCTTTGCAAATATTGCCCGTTAAACATTGAAAAATCGCTAAAAATATTGCCCAGTAAACATTGAAAAAATCGCTTGACGTCGCTGTAGCCGACCAACTTTATAAACTTTGGTCGAACACAGATAAATATTGCTGAGGAATTAGGTAATATTAAGGGGCTGTTTAGGGCCATCAAAATTATTTAAGGTGCTCACTCAGATTCCGGGATAATTAAGACTTTGCTGGGCTAAATGTTACTTAGAAAAACATTTATTAAGTGAAGACGACTTTTTTAACGTTTTATGTTTATAAACAACTGTCAAGTGTTCTCGTTGGGTGTTTAATAAACTTAGAGTTTAATTTGACATTTGTTTGTTTACTTTTTCTTATTTACATATAGCCTGTTCCCCTTAATCCAGCATTTAGACAGAAATAGTCCGAAGTAGCCGTGGTGTAGAATACCAACTATTTAGCCATAAAAAAATAAAAAACGTAGCTAAATAGAACTTTTCATGCTGATTTCAACCATACGAAGATTGTTTGGCGCAAATAAAAACTAAAGCCAATAAAAAGGTTAACTTTTACATTTTTTATATTTATAATAACTCGGAAACCATTTTACCGACCACAAACGTATTGATGCTAATTTAAAGATAATTTAAATACCTTTTACGCGACGCATACAGTATAACCTTATTCAAAACAAATATTAAATAAACGACATTCTAAAAAATATATTTATACTAGCAGACGCGGCAAACTTCGTCCCGCCCAAAATTAATTTTTTTATTTAAACATTTGGTCCAACGTTTCGCCAGCAATTCACGTTCACGCTTGGTTTTGTGGTCCACAGAAGGCTTGTCCTCCATTGCCGTCTTAAATAACCTGACGAAAGCGTTATACCGGAAAGAAGTCCTCGCTGCTCGATGGTGAATCGTCCTTGAATCTGTATAGTATAGTTGGCGGCAATTTCCAAACTGGTGAGTATCATTGGTCCACATTCTGTTTACTCAACGTAAGGCAAGGACCGCAATGGTACAGATGGTTGATTTAACGGGGGTAATTTGACTGCTGCTCCCGAATTGACGATGTTTAGCAATAACTCGGCTCCAGCACCACCTTGCGCATCTTTTTTTGCAATAGTATTGCCCCTATCGTTACCAATACATATATATCTCGAATATGAGTCAAATCGGAACACAAGTACGATTTTGAGTAATAACTCGACTCCAGCGCCACCTGGCGTTTTAAGTTGTGAGCTTGAACTATACAGGGACCTATTCAAACACATAAAAAATTTCATTAAAATCTTTTCGGTCGTTTAGGAGGAGTCCACCCACTAGAATAAGTCTTTTACATACTGACACTCTTCGGCATTTTTGCCTATTCAAAAAAAAATATTACGCATTCGTTATACGGAGAAAATGCGCAAGATCATCAGCGAAAAAAACTCTCAAAAATCACTACAAAACTGCATACCCAAAATTGTGTCCCATTTGATTCAAAATGAACCATATTTCTATAAAAACAATTAACAAAAAAATTTATTATGAAAAAGAAAAAAAACACTGTATTCTGGGTGTATACATATATTTACAGATTAGATAAAAGTTTCAATATGTTCGGAAAGCGCCCCCTTTTCCAGTAGCCCTAAAATTTCTATACCAATTTCCAGGACACTACTACAAATATTTCCAGAGATATACGCTATGAAAAATTAGACATTTATGGGTGATACCACTCTCCCTTATTATATCGAAATTCTGCGGTAGATGTCCAAATTTCGGTACAGCCGTTCGCCAGATCACCTCTTATAAAAAGAAGGAGCTTCGCTTTACATAATCGGTGTCGGTAAAACAGGACAACACCGATTTTGAAGCGGCAAATGTTAAAGCTGTTTTCGATAGACTTTTTTGCGGTGATTACGAAGTCGTAAATACAAAGTTTCGATCAGCTCCAGATTTTGAGAAAAACGTGGGAAAAGTGTCAAAAAATCGTGTTTTTGCAATATTTGAGAAGCTCCTACAATGAAACAAAAAGAGATAGAACCTTCCACTTAGGCTCAAATTAAAGCTAGAACTTCAGACTACTATCCCTGAAAATACTAATTCTGCACCTTGCCCTGATGGTCATTCTCATTTACTTTTTATCGCCCAACAATAAAAAATTACTGGAAAATTATGCAATTGAAAAAAATTGTGTAAAAATCTGTTTTAGCTGTTCAACAAATGACTATAGGTGACCTTAGGGTCAAGGTACAGGGATGGTATTTGCAGGGATTGAAGTCAGAAGTCCAAGCCTTAATTTAAGCCTAAGTGGAAGGTTCTAACACCATTTGTTTCCCTGCAAGAGGTTCTTAGACATTGCAAAAAACGCGATTTTTTGAAATTTTGACCTCGTTTTACTTAAAATCTGGAACTGATGGAAATTTTATGCTTACGTCAAAAATTGCATTTACATTTGCTGCATCAAATTTTTTTGGCCTGTGTAATGAGTATTGTTAAATAGCCAATACCCACATGTTTACGGTGCCTTCAAACACCTTTCGAACTGTAAAGTAATTACTGAATTCTATTCTGAGCATATCTATAATACGGGTATGGAATTTCAAGCAAATCGGACCCTAAGATAGATTTTTTGGAATAGATCCTATGTTAACCCAGACAATAAGCTAACTACTTGCCGAATTTCAAGCAAATCGGACCATAAATAAAACTTTTTCGAATAGATCGATCCCTGGCCCACTTAACGGAAAAAATTGATAATATATGCTAATCTAGACTAAAGGAACCTAGCGGAAAAATTAAAACTTTGTGCACTCCTCCTTCTAAACACCTTTCCAAAAAAGCAGCAACCATTCGAATCGGATATGAAACATAGGAGAAAATTGTTCCCAATTGATTCATGCTCACAATCATAGTTGCCAACTTGGTGCCTAAAGTACTAGATTTAGTGCTTCTTGAAAATTAAAACGCCAAAAGAAATGGTTTAGTGTTTAGTGCCTTTTTTAGTGTTTTCTTCTGAACTCAGATTTCTCAAATGTATATAGATAGGGATAAATAGATACAAGCAAATCCAAGTACATACTCGATACTTTTCTCAATTTACCAAGTGTTTTTGTACTCGATACTTTTTACTGCGATCCAAGTAGGTATCGAAAAAAAGTACTTGTATCGGAAGCGCAAAACTTATTATGCCTCAGCATATTCTTTGAAAAGCAACCCATTAGAGGAATTGGAAGATATGCGCAATACATTTCCGCGGCTATATATTTAAGCAAGCCCGTCTATACAGTGTGGCCGTTGTGCGACTTAAGGAGCGCCAATACCCTTTGACCCGACTTTTTGAAAGTTTTGATTTTTTTACCTTTTTCAAAAACTATGTGCGACCTTTGCCCCTTTTCAGAGACTTTTTTAGGAAATGTGAACAGAACCATGCTATCAAAAATATTTTCTCCTGTAAATATGAAAAAAATGCATCACTTAAAACTTTTAAGGGAAATGTAACTCTTCTCGATTTATGTGTATGTTTGCAACCTTGTTTTGTGAAAAGCTTGCCCCACTATTTTCTTTTTCAATTCAACAAATTCATTCTTTTACTAGTAAAGAAAAGCAAAAATAATATGGTGACCCTTTTTTTCGTCAATGAACCCCCTTTTTCGACTTTCTGAAAATTCTCAACGGCAACGCTGCGTCTATACATAACGGTTGTCGGGTCATCTGTCCCTTGCGAGAGGCTTTTCTCAAAAACAGATACAACTATATTAAAATCTCGAAACTGCCTTTCAGGAAAACACTTGGAAAAGGTGATGTTTTTGGGAAATATAACAAAAATTGAGTTATTTTGTTAAACTCATTTTATATGAAAAAACTTTATCTATTAATCTTGTAAAAATGTATTCAATTGTTTTTTGAAATCAAATACTATAGAAAAATAATTGTTATCTTAAATTTTTGTCTGAAAAATTATTAAAAGATAAATAATCTTGTAAAAATGTATTCAATTGTTTTTTGAAATCAAATACTATAGAAAAATAATTGTTATCTTAAATTTTTGTCTGAAAAATTATTAAAAGATAAATAATCTTGTAAAAATACATATTTTTTGTGAAAAAAAACGATACAATTACTTTAAAAAATATGCAAAATCTATTTGCAAGTACTCGATACCTTTCCGATACTGAGTATATATCGATACCTTGTTTGATACAAGTACAAGTACTGATTTGAGTAATACCTTGATGGTATCGATTTATCTCTATATATAGATAAAACATGAAATAATTTGAAATATTTATCGGTTCTTGTAGATTTTTTGGTGCTGAATCCAAATCTGGATGCAGAATTTCTCCAGCACGTCAAAAGATATCC